TAAAATGACTTATAATTGCGTTTAGAAGAACATCGATCATAATATACATCGTTTCCAAAGAGGGCCATGGACACCACATTTTCATTTTGACGATGAAGACGGAGATGGGAGTAAGTACAATTCAGAAGAAACTGGTTCGAATTTGATAACTTTGACTTTAATTAGGCCAATAGTGTTTGCAGATACTCTATCCGCAAGCCGCAAACAGTGGACAGTGACTTGAATGCATATTATAGTTAACGAGTAAATCAACTTTAAGTATATAACCAATAGATGGCGTGCTTACTATTCTTCGGTTAATTCGGTTAATGTGTAGATATACAAAGAACAAATCAGTGTTAGTTGCAGCTAGTCAAGGTAACGAGGTACATGCTACCTTTGTACTATATGACAAGATGGATAATTACGTATGCATGCAGATGTAGAAATAAACAATTATTATTATTATTATTATTATTATTATTATTATTATTATTATTATTATTATTATTATTATTATTATTATTATTATTATTATTATTATTATTATTCGACTAACATTGATTTCATTGGTGATTGCCATGTTTGCGTTGTTACTCAGAGGTGCGGTGTGAAACTGAATGTGGAGGGGTTGTTCGAGATAACTGCCTCCCCGGCGAATATGACCTTCCCTGCTTTGTGGAGAAAATCTTCGTGCAGAAATGTTGTATTCGTAAGTATATCTTGGATATACATTTCAGTACTGTTATATTATGTGAATGAATTTATACATTGGCAATCAACGACAGCGTTACAGCTGGTGATTTCTTGAGAGACAGAGCATGGTATTACTGGACATAATTCCCCACTCATTGCAAACTTGTTAGTAGCTGGCCTGAAAGTTTCAATGTGTTGTTGAGAGGATGTTGTTATTTCAAGTAGCCAAGTGTAGACCCGGCTTCTGATTGGTTAGTGTCAAAATATGGTGGAATTAAAAACAAAATGATTTGTTGATGAACTTATTATGTTAATTTTGCCCAGTACTTCAATTTGAATTAAAGTAGCTAACACCAATGGATATCGGTTAGTGTGTTGTTACTCAGAGTGACCTATAGAATTGTGCCTAATTGACTACACGATCCTAACCCCAATAGTCAGACTAATCAGAAAGCAGCTCGTTTAATTTGTTTTTCGATGTGTCAAATTCTGCTATATATCCATGCTTCGACTGAACTGGATTGGACACTTGTTTCGGGCTACGCCCTTACAACCTCTCTCTGTGCTGTGCAGTTTCCCACACTAATACACCCGTCACTTGCAAATGATTGACAGCGCGAATGACCAATCAGCGACAGCGTCACAGCAAATGATTTTTAGACAAGCAATGATGTTATTAAAGGTCATAATTACCCGCTGTGAACTTTAAATCAACTGGCTCGAATGTTCCAGTGTTGTTGTTGATAGGGTAGATAGATCCTATGCAGTGTTGACCTTGGCCTCCTTCAACTTTTTGAGCAACCATTGTATAACTCGGCATCATTATGGGACAGATGGATGATGTGAGGGCGTAGACAGTTGTAATAGCCCACGTAGCCCTGGATCGACGACGCTGTCAGAGTAGAATGAAGTTTTTTTTTACATACAGTCGTTTTCTGTTCACATAAACACGGACATGAATCCTGCTGTATCAAAACGGGGTAGACGCGTAAGACAGGATACATAGAATACGTATGCGTACACCAGCAATGAACTAACTTTGATTGCTCGTACTCGACAATTTAAGCAAATTGCATTAAATGCGAGGTAATCTGGCTTCCGTAATGTTTCGCCCATATTTTATTGAAAAAAAAAAAAAATAAATAAATAAACAAGAGACTGTATGCAAGTCTGTGTTTCATGTTTTGAGTTACATTTGTTTTACATCTTATTGACTTGCGCCCTCTCGCAACCATTGTGGGGACTATGTTTGAACTCGTCGTTTGAGGGCGCAACTCAAGTTACAATTGTGAGGCGGGACTCGAAAAGTTTCACCGATCAATACAACAAATATTGCGTTTTAAAACTAATTATGTTTGCTTAAAATAATGTGTTTACATTACACCGTGTTTTGAGAAGGTCGCAAATACCTTTGTTTATATTTATATTATAACTAATACTATACAAATTGAAAATGTCATAATTCAAATCAAAATTAGACCTTGGATTATTATAAGCTTTTATTATTCTGCGAAGCTCTCACACGGTGCTCTACTGTCTTAACCCATGACCTCATTGCACGAGCTTCTTAACAGTATATGTCTTAGTTTAATTATTATTTAAACCAAAAATAGGCATGGAATGCTTTAATATTGGCGGAATTTGTCGATCTGAAGCAAAGCAGTATGAGATGGCTATAACATCAACGTACTGTGCACAGACAGGATTCCAATGCTATGTCAGTAAGTAGAATATTAGACAAAAAATATTAGGCTGTGTTTGGTTGGGCCGTACAACACGCATTACTCGTAAACAAGGATGGATGAGACTGACTAGTAAAAATGTTTAAAAGCAGTGAAAAACAACTTAAATTAAATAAACGACAAAGACAAAATAATAGCCATATTAGTTTCCATAAGCACACCAATGCGTGTAATATCGTGGCCATTTATTTATTCTAATGTATTATACATCAATGAACTTGAGATTAAGGCAAAATGTCGAATTCCAAATGTTGAAAACGATTCACAGGTTTTCAAAGACATCAACATTTTGCTGTTTCATTTAGAAAAAACTTAACAAACATTTACACTTTTGAAAGTAATGCCTACTTGAGATGCAAATGATGGCCTTTATTTTATTTGCCCAGATCACAAAGACGCCAATCAATATAATGTAAGCAGGGAAAAGAAAACGGCTCGTTTTATGCTAATTAGTCGGACGTGTCACATAACACTCCACGTTGCTAAGACGCGCACCACTGTACCTTGTACTATTTCTTAGGGCCTCCGTACGAGCTGCTTGTAGAACGTTTGAAGAAGTAATCTTTCTGTCTAAACAACTAGCCGAAAGTAGAGTTTTGCCGGGTGTGTTTCTACCAGTTAATTGTCTCTGAAATTACGATGGAATGTACCAAGACGTGTGAAATTATGGCGCCCTCTTAGTCCACTGAGGGATACCGATATATTGTTATAATATTTTGTTGTCGCTTGATTAATAAGCAGTATACTGTTCGATGTATAGCAATGTTGCTAGCAAAACAGCAATGTAAATTGCAAAATTCAAGTTGCCCAGCGGATTATTCTCGCGATGACAAATAAAACGGAAGGGTCGTCACAGGAATTGAGTCCTAAACGACGATAACCACACACGCTAAAGTCGCAAAAGCTCATTTGTAGACGCTTATGTTTGTAGATATCCTTACACTATTGCCGTTGTTCGTATGCACAAGTGACGCCCCCCTCCGCCCGCGTTTACTGACAAGTATTGACAAGTATTGGACTTCACATTACGTGTCACAGAACATGCACTTCGTGGTGGGCGTGGTGTCAACTTTTAACCAATAAAACCAATGATATTATTTACATTGTATCTATCGGCGTCTTTGTGGTCTGGTCGAACTTTTCATAACAGACTAAATTGAAAATTGGAAAATTGAAAGCACATTTTATTTGGGGTTGAACCTTTGCGTTAAATATATCCTAATTCACATTTATTTTCAGTCACTTCTTATAAGTCTATTGTCGTAATGAAAATCGAATAAACCAATGGCCACCTGATGCGCCTCAGGGGGCATTAAAGGCGGTGGTCGTCGCGCCACGCATGCGCGAGATATATGGGTCTCTTATAAACAAAGATGGCGACTTTGACTGTTGCACAGATCAACAAGTACAAACTGAGACGCTACCAAATTTTAATTAGGTATTTTTTAGGTGATTAGAAGGTATCGAAGGAGTCACCGGCGGTAATTAGTGCAAGTCGCGCCCACATCACATCTCATACTTGAGAATATCATTACAAGAGCGCATTGGATTATGGGAAAATCAATGCTTATCAACACAAATTTCGCACATGCGCAGCCCGACGACCTCCGCCCTTTAATATCAAGTTTGTTAACGCATTATACAATAGACACAGAATAAACGAATGACCAGCATATGCCACGGATTCGCAATCCAAGTTATAGGATGATTTTCATACATACAATTTTTCTTCTGAATTGTACTCAAATTTCAACTTCCTGTGTTACGAGCGTTCGTAACATGAACTGTGGTTAGTGTGGCTGTACGTACTGTACACATGATTGCCCATTGAATTGACAGCCGCCTGAGGGCGCCGTATCACTATAACAGTTGACGGAAAGGAACTCGTGTATGTTTATGACAATATTCTATTTTCGTCCTCAAAGAACGATGTCATGCGTGCAATGGTGTGTGCATCCAGGGCCCCAACTGTCCCCATGCCACCCAACCATACAACGTTCATGGTATGTCCTGTAAATGTCTAACAGGTGAAACATGCTGTCTTCTAGAATGTGAGTTCAAGTTGATGTTTTGGTGTTGGAATTGATATAAGGTGTTAATACTGTTCCTTAAAAAAACATTTGTTAATGCTAGTGACATTGGAGGTAGGCCGCCGCTGTCTCGCCTGACTTGTTTTCATATGCAAATTTCAAGTGTTAATACTGATGACACATGGAGTGCGTTTCGATATACACCGTATTCGTCATTTAGGGTCACGCGACACGATTGTGTGACAGTCTTCCGAGTGTAATGCCATTAATACGATATTCTAGCGTGAACGAGGCCTAAACAAAGATAAACACATTCACACTTTTATCACCGTTTTCCGGAAGTTATATCCGTATAAAGTGAATTAGTGTCCGTCAGTAGCTTCTCTTTATTGAATCTGTGGCACACTCACCTGTAGGCTAGCGGTCAACCTATTTCGCAGGTGAGATTTGCACTCGGGTCAACCGAACCAAAAACCAATACCGGTGACCGCCTGCTATCAATATTATTTTTGCAGCCACTAATAGCTGTGAAAGCCACACTGACTGTTGGGGGCGCTGCGTTCACGAAGCAGACAAGTGTTTACCAGACGAGACGGAGTGCGTTGACGAACCCTGTACCTGTAAATTTGGAGATAAGTGTTGCTTGAAGGGTAACAGTCTTTTGTCATATTATTATTATAATAATAATTTAAAATATAATAACATATGACGTCAAAACATAAATCAGACCAGTAATCGATACATTTTACAGACACTTTAGTAGCGGAAATCACTGTTTACAATTCATGATTAATATAAAAAAAAATCAATAATTTTTTAAAATATTTTTCTTATTCAGAATGCAATCCAAGTGGTGAGTTTGTTTAATAAGCATGCTTTATTCGATTATTCGTTGCCTATTTGACCTTTTTCGTTGTCAAGATGTGTATTGGCGCGTATAATTATTCTAAGTATCCCCAATCTGCTTCAGTCTGAATTATTGCTTGATACGCACATTCTGTATTCATTGAAGGAATTGACGAATGCGCCTTGAGATTTCCAGGTCGTGCATTATGTCGACCACACGGATGTAAAGTGGGCGTCGAGACGCCGGTGACGGTAGTCCCCGGTCTATGCGGTCCTGATTGCCACTGCTGCAAAAGAAGCGGTAAGGGACGTCGACATACTACAATCCATTTAACCATTGCCACGTGGTCGCACAGATTTGATGAACTCATCACACGCCGTGTTTAATGTGAAGGAAACCATACATTCACAAGCAGGCGATTTAAATCGGGGGGGGGGGGTGCACTAAGAACTGTACAATTTATATACAGATTACTATCATTGCAATTCACAGGCTCGTGCAGTGACTGTGGTGGAGAATGTAGAACGGCCTGCTGGCCTGGTGAAATATCCCAGAAACATTGTGACTGCACAGCTGCTGGTCACCATTGCTGTGTCGCCCAGACTAGTAAGTGAAATGTAATTATGTAATTATACCGTTCTAATTAAACTGCAGGTAAAAACCCGTTCCATATTTACAATAAACTATACGTAAAAATTGAGTATTTTTACGACTACACAAATTTCCTGGTACCCCGTAACTTACGTGAAACTCAATTGTAATTCAGTCTTTTCGTTGTTAAATGTATTCCACGGACATTTTATTTATCTACTGTATATTTATTTCGTTTACACAGGAAATGGAGTTGGAGGTACGTAATAATCAACCAATATACGTATGATCATTATGTATAAATTATCTGGTACAACGAATGGCGCGTGCATCATTACAAACCCTACCACTTTGAATATATTCTTATTTTACTTATATTAAAACACACCATTTAAACATTGGATTGTAAATGCCTACATTAACATTTGGTAACAGACCGGTTTCAGTCTCATTGGATATTTATTGTCTTCAACTTCGCCAACTTGTAAACCTTAACACTCGGGATGTAATACTCACTAAACTATCCGTCAAGACTTAGCATAATAGGCAAGTGACAAGTGACAAGTGTTCGTCTATGCACTTTTTACAAAGCTTCGAATACGTCTTGTATATATTAGAAAACATTGCATTATTTGTTACTGAACATCGAGAATATTTGTAACATAATTTTTGTATGATAATTTTTGCACCTAAAACACGCCGACCTAAACGGCAACGGGAAACAAATCTCAGTGAATACTAACAGTGTAATAAATGTGTGGAATTACGTTTTGTTTTATAACTTAATTGCAAACAATCCCCATGTTTGTTCGCACCGACTACGATGAAGAGATTAAGAACAGAAATTATCTCTCGTAACTGAGTTATCGATTACATTTTGTTGATTTAGGTTCAGATGTTAATTCTATGTCTCATTTCTCCAAATAGGGGGTGGAATTCATGGTTCACCCAACTACACGTCCTTTGACGGGTCAAAGTTCGAATATCACGGAACCTGCTCATACGTGTTATTCCGAGAGTGTACAACAGATCCCCAATTTGTTGTTATAACTGATCATATGAACGGCCAAGACACAGAGGACCACTATCGTTCGTATGTCGTCAATGTCCGAATCATACTGGCCTCGACTAGAATTGACATCACCTCGAATGACGTCAAGGTAAGCCAATAAAACTTTGTCGTGTTTGTCCGTCTGTCGTCTGCACGCCCACTTGAAAGTTACAGCTACGTGCTGACGTCATTTCTTTGCATACTATTTGCTCAAAATATCTCAAAACTCAATTCGTGCCTTTCAATATGACTTGCTATATAATTGCATGCTAACAATGATAAAGATTAGTTTTGGATTGAAATTCGAGCATAATAATTGTCTAATTTGCATAATGTGCACATTTCAATAAAATTTGTTTCATAGAAGCTCGGGGATGATTCAGAGACGTGAATAGTTTATGTTGACATGCATATTGTTTATATAATTATTATTAGCCAATTTCTCAAACAAATATTTAAATTGAACATGTGGTAGAGGTGCTTTTGTTGAATAAATTCAGACTGAAAACTACACTAAGATGTACAATTGGAGCTATTGAAAGTCTGTTCTTAAATTTTGAATTGATTTTTAAAAATTTCTTTCTTTCTAAGCTTTCTTTTATTCTTACTTGTCCTCGAACCTACCAGGTTTTCAAGGAAACTACTAGTACTCTTAAACAATTTGGCATACAATCAGTACTGTAATATTCATAGTTCCTGAAAATTGGAATATACAGGTTTACTTGATCTCTCATCTGAGGTGTTGTCTGTACGATGATTAGATAATCGTAGATGATCATCTTTGTTATGGGTACAATATACTAGTATAGCCAGGATGATCTAGAGCAGCTATAATACATCGTTATTGCACCATTAACTCATTCGTGTCTCAATCGTAATCACTATTCTGAGCACGTACTCATCTTATTATTTGGAAGGTCAACTCAGTTATGTGAAATGTATACATGTATGAATGATACCACTCCAGGGAGTATCGTCGTAATAAAAATGTAACACTTTTATTCTCGTCTATATGTGTTCATCCCACGTGAATACTTATTGAAAACATAATTCAGACGGACGAGATTACACCCTTGGAATCATACTTATTACATGAGTTGATGGGTGATAAATATGCCATTTAATATACGACTTGATATATATATATATATATATATATATATATATATATATATATATATATATATATATATATATATCAGAAATTCAGAAAGGGTACTTAAGCTTATCAAAAATACCAATTGTTTTTACTTGCATTAGTATAGAAAAGGATCATGGGAAAAACAATTCTAATTTGTATACAACTAAACTTTTTATATATGATCTATTTCATATTTTCCACAACGACTGTCAATCGGGATTAAAGGAATCATCAACTTTAATTTCTGGCATATTTGCACAATTGTCACCGTATTATCAGATCTAATGTATGCAAAACATATATGACTTAATTGCTAATAAATTTGAGCAGCAAACGTAATTGTTGTCATTTTTAAGATAATAATAATCACAATTGTTTTGTTGCGAATTAAAAAAAATTAAAGAAAAAACCAGAAAACTATAGAAAATACATAGAATTGGGTAAACTATTACCCCAATATTTGATAGCAGACATTAGGGAATACACCAGTTTTGAATTGAGAAAGTATTCTCGAAATTTCAAATGATCACGGCATAAACACACGTATCTTTTTAATTATTATTCAGTACCTATGTACAAATAACTGAATACGTATACAGTAATTTAACGTTAATATCTTCAGAAAGTACGATAAACTTTATAGCACTCACAACGTTTTAAACACTTTTCTGAATGGCACAACCTAAATACATTGCAATGTCTGTAACGATGTGTTGTCTTTAAGAGACCAAATTTGATGCGATCTGGGTGTGTGAAGTATGATGTCGGCAAATATTGTTTTCGTATTTCAGAGTAAAAAGACAGCAAAAAGTGAAATTCGTTTTCAATACAGCTCGGCCAATAATTACCAAATTTCTGTGATTTATATATATTTTGACTTATGTCTGTTTCAGTAAGTAAGTTATGTGTTGATATTCTAAATTTACAAAATGTCCTTCTTAAATCAACAGTTTAGTTTCCCATTTCCTGTTTAAAACACGCAACTCCCAGTCCGTTCGAGAACAGTAGGTTTCAACTAGTGAGGCTCATCATAAGTGGCTATTTTCGGATTTTTTTTATACTGGAGTTTATAACTAGAATAGATATATACGTATCAGCTTGGATAATATGTAGATAATATTTGACTATTCTTTTCAAATATGAATTAAATAGTTTAACGTGCTAGTTCACCTTGTACCACAAAGGCGTGGCTGCCAACATGAAATTACATTTCAAAGGGTAAAACTTTACTAGTTTTATTTGCTATTGAATTAAAAATACTACTTTTAAACAGTTATACTATGGAACATTTCTAACGGGTTACCTTCAAAAACCCAATGCTCACATTTCTTAAACACGCCCTACTTCTAAAAACTATATTTTTTGTGTGTTTGTGATATTGACTGTTAATTTCTAAGTTGTGCAGATGTGACATGTTTTTCATTCTGGACCAGTTAAACAACTATATGAGAGGAACTCTGACAGGCTAAAACTTCTACATTCTATATTTTATCTAAAATAAGCGGATTTTAATCATAAGCTCAATTACACTACTACTAGAAAGACACCTGACATAAACGTCTGAGTAAACGTGTGGAAGAAGGTGTTTTCAAATATCGTTTTATATAAAAACAAAACAGTAAATTTGATATAACAGAAAAACTTGAATACTTTACCCCGTATAACGGTTTTAGCAAACTCATAAAATATACAATAGTGATTGTAAGTTTTGGAACGGCTGATGATTTACGTAACGGTAAATTATATTGTTTTTGGGGCTGTATGTTAATAAATGTTATAACCCTTATAATTTGATTGTTGCTGCAGGTAAACGACATGTCTGTTACTGGCATCCTTCCAATGACCACCGATGAGGGAGTACATATCAATATTGGTTATGAGTATAAACTTGTTCATGTTGACTTTCCGGAGGTTTTCTCTCTGTCATGGAATGGCAGGGACAACATTATCGCAACTATTGATGAGGACTTTCACGGCTATGTATGTGGACTCCTTGGTGATGCTGATGGTGATCCACGTAACGATATGATGATGATACTACCAGATGGACTGTTCGAGCTCACTAATGATGACAATGAGTTTGGTAACAACTGGGAGGTTCCTGGCAGGTATGATATGGTATTTGTACTCGTATTGTAAACTTGATACAAGATTGATTCAATATACTGCAATCTATATTATCAGTACATCGTACAGAAGGAATATGTTTTGAGACTCTAGTGTAGAAAAACGTTCGCCATAGAAACGTCATTTTATATTACACAAGTGCAATAATGCGACGTACATCCTGTTTTACACCCCTGTTCATTAGACCGCTTATATTCTAAAACCAAATCCCCGCTAATGCCTACATTTACCCCGCTGTACTGGACATATACATTTTGGTATTATTTTAATAACCATATCATAGGTTGTTACACTAAATAACCTTTTTTCGAAATTCACCACTCGTCGCTGTCTGTGGCGTACTAATTTGCGAACACGCAACATGACGCACATATTTCGTTGACACATATTCTGGTTGTTCGTTTCATACACAATCTAATAACGTCAGCAATTTGCATAGTTATTGGACTCTGCGCCCTAATTTACATAGTTATTAGATGCGCATTCTTAGATGTCATTGTATCCCGAAACACCATAGGTTGCATTGGTTTATTACTTGTTATGACGGAGAATGAGCTTGGTCGTCACACTGTTACATATTTATGATTACGTTATTCTTTTCATTATACCAAATATGTAATATCCCGTTTGTCTTTCATAGTTGTAATATTCGCCGCGCTCCTTGAGGACCTGGGAATATCAACCTGGACGTGCAGTGGTTTCTTCAACAATTAGCAATAACTATCACACATATGCATTCAACGTATGGACCAGATCGACGCCATTGATTACTGAAGTGTTTTATTTGTCTAGAATGCTAACACTTGCCGCACACTACATTCTTTTCTATACATGTACAACATATATTTCATCACGCGTAAATTTAAAGTTTATTTTCTGGATCAGAACTAGATGGGTTGGTTTTCTTAATTCTGAGTTTGAATAAATGGCTGTAGCATTTTTACATTTCGATCAATAATCTAGAATCACATAAAATCTTCTCACATAAAAGGAAGGTTAAAATGACAGTTTAGTGGATGGGGTGTAAAAACATTGTTTGGTTGTCTTCAAACTATGTTCTAAATGGCAACATAAATAATAAATCACTTGAAAAGGACATTTTCTGCAAGAATAATAATTACTCGCGCATTGTGCAGAACATAACTCGCAAGGCGCTGCACATCTAAGTAAGGAATGTATGTGAATATTACTGTGAATAAAAAACATGCAATATGGATTTATAGAGATTACATATATTTCTAGTCATTCACGCACATGTGTCATTTGGGGAATCTCGTGTGCATTAAATCGAAAGTAACTAGATCTGAAAGTGTCCACTGCGTATTGACGTATCCATTTCAGAAAAGCTAAAATTCATCGAGTCATCAAACCCATCGCCAAGTAAAGCGAGAATTCATTGATGCGTGCCCACCGACATTCGGTTATCTCACGTATAACAATACAGTCACTACGTTAATAATCTAATTCATTCCGGCGACGAAAGGAAAGAATCATTAAAAGCAATCGCACAAGAACTCCCCAGACCCGTGACATAGAAACGTAATGGGTCTTGGAGAATCCCATAGGACTGATAGTGAACTCGATTAGAGGTGTTAGTAATAAATGAAACACTTACAAAATGCCAGGAAACCACAGAATTATACGATCGATAGCAGTTACACAATCGTCGTGTGATTTAATGTTGCGCTGACATTATATTTAAACATGCAGCAGAGTTCAACTCCATGCTGCTTTGTATATCAAAACAATACAGTTGAAAAGAATCCAGTGATTAGTAAATTAGTTAGTAACGAGATTAGAAGAAGAGAGAAAGTAATCGCCACGAACCCGCCCACGTGTTTATTTTTGAGATAAGCGTTTCAAGACAACTCCCATTTATTCCTCACGTTTTTCTAAATGAGCTAAGATATGAGGAAACTGCGCGGGCTGGCGTGCAAGTTTAAGAACCAATAAATGCGGTAACAGACGCGTAACTGACTGTTCCTATTATACCATTTGTTGTTTTCTGGTTTGCGTAACGATTACCAACATATTTCCCCGTTTGCGCACCTCCACCTAAATTAGACTGCAGATGTTTTTAACTAAAAAAACAAATGCCATTTTTGTATCCCGATGGCCTACTAAACCCACAACAATGAAACAATGTCAATACTCAACGTCAAAAGACAAACTCCAACATTTGAACCCCCAAGCAAACACAACAGAACACATTTAAGTTGAACACATTCAGCCCAACTGTTTCACCTGATACATACACCCACTTCCGGGATATAGATCGTAGTATAAGCCATGGGAGATAGGAATATTACTGTCAAGATGTGGGAAGTTTATGGTGTCGAAATTATAATCTCCATAAATACGTTGTTTATACGAAATTCAGACAATACTGATAATATCATTCTTACTATCGAATACCTCATTAGAATGTGTTATCTTCAGTACGGAATAAAATTTATTAAAAAATATATATATTTATATCTACGGGAACAATACTTGCGAAATAAGGTGATGTGATAAATAGTATTTCTCAACCGTTTCTCGTGTTGAAAAATCCAATGTTTGAATTGGTGTTCAAAGGAGATTTGGTTTTCTAGCTCTTTGGAATCACGCAATATCCATATCTGATGTATACCACATGTACTTCTTGTATGACATATGCGTGATATATATAATTTTCAACTCGGCTCGAATCTATCGAATTTCAGTCAGACATCGTCGGGAAAATCATAATTTCAAGACTAGTGGTTCATTCATGGAAATGCAAATAGAACGCCAACCTCTGAAAACTGGTAACAGAGTAACAATATCAGGATTGATTTATATAAATAATACCAAAGCACAGTTAGGAACTTGAAGATTCTCCATTCAGCTATATTGACTATAATGCAAAAAACAAACAAAACTGTTTCACTATTGTGAAGTAGAAATAACGTACCTAACCGTAGGCCTTGGAACACAAGTCATATAGAGAAATTTGAAAGTCCAAGAACAAAACAGACGACTAGCAAATAACAAAACATATTCATAGGAACAAAACTGCACACAGCATAGTAAATCAGTATCAGTAATATATATAGATTCATTGTACACATGAAATAAAGTGTTTCGAAGACAGGCAACATATATCATTCCGAGTCCAAATGGGCTCTGTATGAAACCTTGGTTCTACATCAGGCATTGATGCCAGCTGAGGTGTGAGTGTATCGTTGATGAAAGAAGACAATGTCTTTTGTGAAAATATGCAAATGTACTACAGGCACGGGTATAGCAAAGAAGCTGTGGAAATGTAAACTCCACTGGCTGGGACAGAGTAGGATATTACTGTACATATATGGGAAATTGCTGACTTGAAATAGAACTATTGTGCGTACAATATGATCACATGACTTCTCCTTGTTATAGACATACTGATAGCTGAATGCATATGCTGTAATAAACACTTGCGATATTGGAATGATTTTCTTCATACAAAAGTAATCACGCTGTGGAGAAGTCAATCTTTTCAACGATACCCTACACTGTATTATATGCAGTCATGACTGGAGGCTAGATAAATGAAATGACATTGTGGCTGATATAGAAGTACATGAAATAATCGCGATAATGGAAGCGTGAACTGGAAATAACACACAAAGCCTTGTGTACATTGATTTTCATATAACCTTTACGTGAAAGTAGTATCAACATGGTAGGATGTTTTTTTAACAGTAGAACGGGCACTTCTGTTGTTTTTACCCTTTTCTTTGCTTTTCATTAAAATAACGTACTGCTCTATCAAATTCGTGTAGTATCGTGTAGCTTATCAACATGAAATTGTTCGCTGTTTTGAGCACTAAACCACGTAGCATGCCATAAATGGGGGTTTCGAAATTTTAATATACATATTCAAGTTAAGTTATGCAATAGAGGTACTCTAATTGGCGTGTGTCTGACTGATGTGAAATGGTCCCGTAATATGGCATTACGGGGCAATTTCGTTCCCCATGCCGACATCCTTAGGACTGTTATATGCCATAGACATTTCATAGTTTCGTACTGAATAATTATGATAATTCAACACTTCGTCGAAAATTTTTAATATGTCTATAAATCATTTTCGTACGTGTGTAAAGAAAATCTTAAAAAATAATTACCTCACCTGATTATACACATTTACGTTCAAATCTGTGGCATTGGTGAGATTAATTCCCCGGTAATGACGATCATTCTTGCGAAATTCTCGGTTTGATTTCTTTGCGTTATTACCGGACATAAGTTCTTGTAGTATTTGACATTCTATGAATACTTACCGAATTTAATCGATATATAACATATACTGTAGTGTGGATTAGCACGATAAATTAGTATGGCTTGATTGAACGGAGTAAACGATCGGCTGTATGATCTGTTATTCCATCCGCTGGATAATTTGATTTGATTGCATATGGCTGATTCAAACACAATGTCACTTTCACATTGAGAGCACGCACACGATCATAATGGAATGCTGAGTACCGGAAATAATTATACACATTATTGATAGTGTTCTTGTATTTCTTCCAATTCAACTCTGTAAGTTGAACAGTGAAACTGTATCAGCACGGCGTAACTCTCTGTGGACGCTTCTGAGACACATTTTTAATTGATAGATTAATAGATTATCGAGATGACTGTTGTCAATCTCTCTTTCAATGTTAAATATCAACACATTAGCAACTGCTGCTTGCAGTTTGTTACTAGTATGATGTTTGCATACCGTATGACCTGAGAGACCTTTGTCGGGTAATTTATTTTCTACTATGAAATATACAGGGTTTATCGTTGCTGCATGTGAATCTGTTTTGATTTGTTCGGAAAGCCACTATCATACCAGTTCTTAGGGATTCATACAAACTTGACGGCGTTTAAATGTTCGCTGCTTCCAACATGATGTATTAATGCAGACCTCTGCATGACACCAGCGACGCGTACTCTTTATTTGGTTTGCCGCTGCCCTTACTAATCAAACGTTAGCCCTCAATAGAAACGTCTGGCTGGGTAGATGGATTGTGTCTCCATGATTTCAGTGTTCCGATAGTTCCCCCTGACATCTTCTGTGGTGGTCTTGCCGTGAATTTGAAACGGAAATAATGTTCTGTGCTTTAGAAACTCATACTGAACGTTTGCGATGACAATAAACAGCTAAGAGGTGGATCGTTTGAGATCATGGGGGGGGGGGCATGACACTTGTCAAGAAATGCAAAATGTATTTTCATACTTTAAATTTGGAAGATAATTGTTTGAAGGAAATTGTTTACTTTCATCCGGTTTTAACGTTAAAGCGGGAGGGTCGTCACCTGCGCACGCGCGGGAATTGAGTCCCAAGCGACGATAACAACACACGCTAAAAACGCAAAGGCTCATAGGTAGACGCTTGTTTGTAAACAATGACACACTATGGCCTTGTGGCGCATGCGCAGGTGTCGACTCCCCTGCTTTAAATACTCATTTGAATTTTACAAAGTGTATGAATATCTAATTACTAAAAAATAGTAAAATTGGTATTTTACTGATACAGTATGCAAACGGGGTTATGAAAATTGCCGGTATGTAGCTGCCTGAAAAGGAAGTGTGGTACATTACACATAACTCTGACTTATGTGGTGTGTATTCGTGAGTGCGACGTAAGTGCAACATCAACCTATTTAATATAAGACAGCAGAGCACAGAGAGGGGCGTCTGGAGGACAAACCAATTGACTGTACGTTTGATATCCATTCCTCCTCGTAAATGATTATTTGACGGGTTTATACTTTAGTTGTTTGAGGTGCTTCTCCTGCAATCGATATAAGAAAATCACGAAGCATTCACTCGAGGTACTGACACTCATTATCCAGATGATAGATCAATTGCAACGTGTTACCAGTCACAATGTTCTACATTCTAAAGTCGTTACATGTGTCGCAAAGTGATGATCTCGTTAGCAATAATATGAGGTTATTACGAAGGATACCTCAAGGTATGCACGAAGACAGTACAGCGAGAGTATTGACCGAC